TTTCCGTTTTCAGAAAGAATCCACACACGTCGTTTGATACAATAAAACTATTCAACAGTAACACTAATCGACGATCTTGCCCTATTCTTTCCAGGTTCTTGTTTTTCTTTACTTTCAGACAAGATTCCTGTATTCAGGCAAGATTCTTTTCGACAGGAAAGTAAAAAGAATCTTGTCTGAATTTCAAGATGACAAGAATCTCGTCTGATTAATCAGAAATAAAAGAATCAGGCAAGAATTATAAGATATTCAAGATATATTTAACGTTCAGACAAGATTCTTGTTAAAAGAAAAGATAAAGAATCTTGTCTGAAATTCAAGATCAAAAGAATCTTGTCTGAAAATTATGAAAAAACAGAAACTGGAAAGAAATATAAGATATTTTAAATTTCTTAGTATTCAGACAAGATTCTTATGATAGAAAAGAAAAAGATTCTTGCCAGCTTTTCAAGATCAACAGCACGTGATGTCGTCTTTGTATGATCAAATATATAAAGGCAGTGTCTGAACGTTATTTATTCATTATTTCAATTGGATGTATAGAAAAAGTTTCCATTCGATATCGAGAAAACAGTGGAATATATGATATCTTTTTTTCCATTGTTTTCAGAAAACTTACACTTATTAAACACATTTCGATATTTTAGCAATCCACATCTTTCTATTTTATTTTTTTTAGATTTTCTTTCATTATCCACAAAAGTGTTTTTTTAATGGACGAAGGAAATATTGATTTCATCAAAAAATTATTGTTTGATAATGTTCTTGGTAGTATAGGTAATATCTATATGCACTTTATATCTTTTTGATTAAAATACTATCTTTTTTAGTCATCACCACATACGGATAAACAACGTCGATGGCGTGCTAAGAAAAAAGATCAACATCATCGTACTCAATTATCTCTACATCATTTACTAGTTGAACAAATTGTAAATAACTTATTTTAATCGAGCTAGCTCAACACACAACGACGATGAAGTTTGAAAAAATAAGTATTTTTTTTGATAATTAAAATTTTGTTTTTTTTTGTATTAAAAACCGAAACTGCTTTAACAACATGTGAAATTAAAAGTATTTTTGTTTTTTTTTACATTTGTTGTACATAGTGTGCAAAGCTTATAATAAAACGGTGTGAAAAAAGAGTAATAAGAACCTACAAAAGGCTTTTTTAATGTGACCAGAATCAGGCAAGAAACACAAGAAATAAGAAACAGACAACAATCTTAGAAAAAAAGAATCAGGCAAGAACATCAAGAAAAATAAGAATCAGACAAGAATTCAAGAAAAGCAAGAATCAGACAAGAAAGCAAGAATACAAGAATCTTGTCTGGAGAAGAACTTCTTGCCTCACCAGCCAAGATTCGGTCTACACGAATCTTGTCAGAAAGGCAAGATCAGTTTTTTCAGGCAAGAATCTTGTATAGAAGGAATGGAAAAAGAATCTTGTCTGAAAACCAAGAAAAACAAGAACCTGGAAAGAATAGGGCAAGATCGTCGATTGGTGAAGTTTCTCTCCTATGCACTTAAAATAAACGATCCAGAAAAATTTCTCCCTTCCCACATCTACGTAAGAATATCGCATAATTCCACTATACACTTAATCCACAGAAGCCAACCCTTCAATCTACTAGTCAACTCCAATCCCAAAATTTCATTCTCATATTTCATCAAGCAAAACAACAATCTGTGTAGTTATGCATTTTATCACATTCGTACCCGAAAACAAAAATTCGTTGACACAGTCGCCTTACAGATTAAGAGTCTACTATTATAATTTCTATTCCATGTATAGCGTTGCTCTGGCAGGTCGATGTTGCCATCAACCCGCTCGTTTTCGTCATCGCAACATGTATTTGATCAGAGTTGATCATTTACCTCTTGGTAAGTTGTAATAAGCAATTTTTCTTGTCAGTATGTAGAGCACGATATCTACTTTCTCTTTACACGTTACAGTTTTTGCATTCTACCTTTCTTACATGGTATCTATAAAGACAAAGCAGATGTCGTACTTTGCATACTGCCGAGAAAAATTGCTTATTACAACTTACCAAGAGGTAAATGATCAAATCTGATCAATATACATGTTGCGATGACGAAAATGTGCGGGTTGATGGCAACATCGACCTGCCAGAGCAACATTCTCTAAACCAAAACTTAGAAAATGCATGTCTCAGAATGTGAGTTGAACTATGTTCTGCTAGTACAACGATTATATATAGTTCGGTACTCTATGATGCAAGTAATATTATCTTAGATAGATACATATAGGAGTGAACATTTATCTTTGCTCTTCATGGAAGAATAAGGATTAGAAACAGAAATTGACATGTATGTGCGTGTCGGTTTGTAATATAGTTTTCATATGGTAGCTATGGCATAACTATTCATTGTGTTATAATCATAATGGCCATGGATTTCCTGCAGCCGAAGTAACCAAATAGCAACTATAACAAAACAAAGGCCTTTGTAGTAAATAGTGTACAACTAATAAGCTACGAATTATGAATCAAGCCGTGAGAAAAGACTATAAAAGCATCACATAGCTACCTCTTAATATTGAATTAAAAGACTAATGTGAGCTGCAGAAAAATGAAGTAGACGAACATTTTACATAGATTATTAAGTCTAACTCAATTGGGCTTAAGTATATTTACATGAGAATATTGTTGTTTCTTAAATCATAATTTATCGAGAAAACTTGTGCATAGAATGATGATAAACGAAAGTTTTCTTTTTAAGCGCTATGATAAAACTAGTATTTTACAATTTGGTTCAGACTACAAACAGCGCTAATATATTTTCAGAAAGTCCTTGTTTTATTTTTCTATAATTATTACTGGAAAGAGAAATAGTAAGACAAAAGAAGAAAAAAATTCGTCGCATCTAGACAGTCT